TTCCAAAATAAAGGTCTTTATATACTCTGGAGTCCTGAACGGTATTGATTGAGCTTCACGCTAAACTTGTATTGGAATGCCACAGAGCACTAGATTAGATTTGTTTTGGAGTTCAGCAATTCAGTTAATGTGGCTTGCATGATTTACCATGAGTGAGTGCACTAACCCATTTAGGTATTGTGTCCTTGTATGGATGCTGGGCTACATGAATTACTGCAGGAGCCTTAGCTGACTATCTTACTCTTACAACCGCAAAACCTTTTTTTCCCCCAAAAAGAAGTCTCTTTATCATCATCTTCACTGATTTTATCCATTATTGTGGTGTATAACTGTTCTAAGACGTGGTAATCATCCACATTATTTTCCTTCCAGTAGGCATTATCCACTTTACTTTGTCAAGCTTATAAGAAAATGGAAAATCAATCCTAAAATATTGTTACTATTTTCAGTCAAGATGGCAGCAGTCTGCAACTTGTGGGCTTTTTTCGTAAACAGTCATTAAATGAAAAATGCCGTACAGTTTGCTGAATGCTTGGATGGTAAATACTATAATTTTTTAAAGTGCTGGAGTAAGTCCATTTTCTAAGCTGTTAACATTGGTGTGTAATGCCTCGAACATTCTGGGCAAACCTAAATTGGTAGTGTTGTAAATCTAAAGCATCATTTTTCTCCCACAATTAGTATTAGCAAAAATAAATAGTACCAACAAACATAAAAAATCAAATCTCCTTTTGAAGTATTTTAAAGGGAATGTTTTCACAATTGTGTTTAAAAGTTTTCCATTTTTAAATGTAATGTTGATTATCCACCCTATAAATCAGTGCCCGTGTTTAAGTTTCAAAGCACGTGCAAAGACCACCTGGTCTAACAGGTAGGGTGGTCCTAGATGGACAAGCAGGGAGAAAGCTTGCCAGACAGTGATATAAATGGCAAGCTATGCAGTTTTAGCTGGTTAGATTCAAGCAGTATCCTAATGCACACACTGGGGTCTCCAAGCCTTCGCTCTTGCCAACCTGCACCTAATACTTTCAGGAATTAGGTAAGCAGGATACTCCTTCCAGGATTGGAGAGATTGTGTATTCTGCTGTGCGCAATTGGCTGCCACGTTCGCCCACAAATATACAGTCAATTCACTTTACAGTGTGTTCTGTGAAGCGCTTTGGGACATCCTCCCGACGTGAAAAGCGCTATATCAAATGCAAGGATTATTATTATTATTATTATTATTATTATTATTCCATTCCAACAATTCATCTCTGGAATTTCCAAGTGTAGGTGAGATGCATGGAATTCTCAGTTTGATATGAATACTCTTAAGCATGGTGATGGGTTTCCGCATGTCAGATACCCAACTGACCCCAAAAGATATGGTCTTGAGTGAGTTTTGTGGGTTTTGACTGAACTTTTGTCGGTCAGAAAACTAAGTGCTCCTGAAAATGCTGCTTCTAAGACAAGCAATTACTTTAATTGAATGTTGCTTCTAGGTTTTAAAGAAGACAATTTGGGATATGTAACACCAAGCAACTTTGCTGAATTGCATTTGCTTTCTAGTTCAATGCTGATCTTAGTGACAGCCTAATGGTGATGGTTACATCGAATGTTAGGAAGGAGGGCCATCAACCATTAAACAAAATGACCTCTGAGCACATTAATAATAATAATAATAATCCTTGCATTTGATATAGCGCTTTTCACGTCGGGAGGACGTCCCAAAGAGCTTCACAGAACACACTGTAAAGTGAATTGACTGTATATTTGTGGGCGAACGCGGCAGCCAATTGCGCACAGCAATGTCCCACAAACAGTCGTAGATTGAAAATGACCAATTTAATTATTGTTTTTGGTTTTTTGGAGGGATTATTATTGGTTTGTTCTCTGCATGTCCAAGGATAGGCTCATTGTCACACGAGGGAAAATAACACAAGTGCAAAATAGCTTGATGTGCTCAACAAACAAAGTTATTGTGACCAGCCCAAGCAACCTGTAGCACTTTCAGATTTGACACTTGGCACTTTCAGATTTTTTTGCTAACCCAAAGGTCCTTTCATTATTTGGAAGGATAAAAAGAGTGGAAGGTCTCTCATCTCTAACACTGTGTTTTGTCCAATCAAAATATTTAAAGGCTGATTCAATCAGAGAGCGTGCTCAACAATGAGGTCTTTCAAAGTAGTCATATTATTGTGCTCCTGACAATCTACAGTGTTCAATTTTTAGACTCTCCACAATGGAGTTCATAGAGATCAATCGTGAGACAATAGCTGCCTTGGACTGATAGACTTAGAAACTATAGTGTAGATATTCCACCTGGATCTAAATTTACTCTATTTTTGCAGCCTTTCAGAGTGTAGAGAATTTGCAAGTTATTATATACCGTCCTAATTTTGAGCTGGTTTTCTTTAAGATTCTTCTCAGAACTACAGGAAAACAGCTTCAAAGTTGAGACTGAATCAGGACTCTCCAAAATGATGAGTTAATAAAGTAAATCTGAAATTTCTCTAGACACGTTTTAGATTGATCTATATTGAAGATTGAGTCTCTCTCTTAACTAATGCTTCTGCACTGTGTCTCATATCCTAAACTTTACTAAAAGTCTTTTGTTGTTTTTTATTATGTACAGTGTGAAACCTTGTATCCTTGCGTTTTCCATTTTAAAAAATTTGACCAAATAATAACACATCAACAGTGCCAGAAGACTTTCGTCTGGTGGTGTCAAACTGAAGCAGAAGTGAATGCTTAGTTTGCATGTGCAACTTTTACTCTTCAACCAGGGCTGGAGCCATGAATTGAATTTCTAGTTTGCAGTGATCTTCCTGGACAATAATTTCACTATAATAAAAATGTCAGTGATTTTGTTTGGTCTCTTCTGCTCCTGTTAAACTTTCAATCATCACAAGATTCGCCAGAAGTTCAACATCTGGCATCCATTCTGTTGCATGCTGTAACCTTTTTGCTATGTGTGGAAAATTATTTCTATTTTTGACTGTTACTTCTCAAATGCTTATTGAAAGTAATGTCTGTATATTCCATTTAAATTAGTAGGTGCTTTGTACAGCAATAATGGATACCCAGTCTTGTGAAAATAGTGATGTTATTGAGGCTTTCAAATATTTGTTATAAAATTGTTCACCTACATATCAGTCATTTGTAGTTGAGAAGGTGGGGAATGCTTTATGCTGTTGTGTCCTTTTGTTCCTCAGGCTTTCTGTCCTGAAGGGATTAATGGTTCTGTGGTTATCACTTGCCATTTATCAAGTGACTATCTTGGAGTTGATTACAACAGCAACTTGAACTCGTATAACTGCTATCACATAACAAGATCATCTCAAGGTTTTTTTTGCCAAGATTGCTCGAGCTGGGAGGGAGGTGGGAGGTGGCAGAAAGCACAGTAGGAGAGAGATGTTTTTAGTCTGGTTTCACTAGCTGAAAGTGAGGGGCAAGGTGGACATTTTGGAAGAGAGTTTCAGAGGGTGGTGAGCAATGTGACTGAAAACTAATTTATTGAAGGTAATGATGGGGTGGAGCAGGCAGAGCATGAGAGGATGGAATGTCTGGGAGAGTAAGATCGCTGAGGTAGGGTAGAGCGAGACCAAGGCATTTGTTGTAGAAGAATCTTCATAATTTATGGCTTACGGCAGGACTTCACATTTAGATTTAGCTTCAGAGGGCCTGAAAATTATTGTGTTGAAGCTGAATCCCTATTATAGTGTTACCCACCTATCTTAAACCCGTTTATATCGACAACCCACCTATATTGGCAGAAAGGTCTCTTCTCTGCATATCAACACACAAGTCTTACCATGTTTGTCGATGTCATAAACTTCAGCATACTTATTTCGACAAATTTTTCAAGTCGCTAACAGTATTACCTACATTCTGTTATTACCAGTTAAACCGAGAAGCCCTTATCCTCGCATGATCGAGTGAGTGTGGCTCATGTGTTCATGAGTGATTGCACATGAGTGCTGGTGACACATTAGTGAGTGTGACACGTGCTAGGCTTGTTTGGCTTATAAATTTACTGAAAACGTCAACATGAACATCAGCACACTCATATCAACAAATTTTTCAAGTTCCTAACAGTATTACCTGCATTCTGTTAATACCACTTTTGCCGACTGGCCCTTATCCTTATGTGGCATGTGAATCAATCAATGAGTGAGTGAGTGAGTCAGTTTGGCTCGTTCATGCTTGAGTGATTGCATGTGAGTGAGTGTGATATGTATGAGGCCCTATAAATTAGCCGGATTGGGAGTGCCGACTGTAGTCTGCTGCTGTACCACGATGGGTAACGTTTTGGATAAAGACTACGCTTTATTTGATCTTGTCCTTCCAGAATACCAACCCTACCATGACAACACTTGTTTTTTTTAAGTGAGTTCAGTGCCTTGACATCAACCCACTTGTTCCTGGTAACCCATTCCAGCTGTTAATTACACTCTGCGTAAAAAAATGTACATAAATATTACAATAAGAGAGTGATGGTGTGAAAAATGTGACTGTTTTTGACTTAGTCATGTTATGCCATCTACAAGTTTGGGAGCCAAACTATTTTTCTTCACCAAGTGTTTCCGTTACATAATAGGTTTCATCAGGGTGTTGTGCTCCTGAACAATTTGTTGTTGTGAATGCAGAACTACTGTGTAAGATGGTTTGTTGTTTTGTCCCTCCCTCAACCCCTTCGCCTTGCCCCCTTGTTCCCTATATTCAGGTCATGGGAGAAGACTTTCCTCTTCAACAACGCCTACGGTCACCATCCCCCTCGCCCTGGCTCGGCCGCGGGCTCCGCCCTTGTTAAGGGCTCTGAGAAGCCACGCGGCGTAGAGGGCGCTATATAAATGCAATTGTTGTTGTTGTTCTAACATTCTTGGCCCAGTGATGATTCAAGCTGTAAACCATTGTTGGAACCTGCACACGTGTTGTATAAATATTACANTTTTTTAAAGTTTAATGTGGTAAAACGTTTAACTGTTTCTTTTTATGTAACCATACCCTTCATACAGGTGAAAATAGCCTTCCTTTGTCAATCACCCATTACAATCCTGAGCAACTTCCACCAGAAAACTCACCGTTTTTGGAACGGAACTTTGTCTGTAGGCTCCGATGTCTCCTGGATAATTCCTCTGGATTTCTGGTAATTTGGCATTTTTGTGTTTAATTTATGGGCCACTTTTGGTCTTCAAACTACTTTTTTTTAAAAATAATTGGTTTAATGATTAGAAAATGTGTTGGCTTTTGTGCCTCAAACAAAAACCTCAGTAATATAAGAGGCTCCAGTCACGCAGCTCTGAAATATAAAGGCTGTTTGAGATTAATGATTGATAGAACCTGTTTAATGTTTTTTTAATTAAGTTTTATTATAAAATGATCAGATGTTTCATACACATTTTCTATAGTCTGGAAAATGCCTTCATTTTACACAATAACAGCAACAACAGTGATAATGGGGGTTTTTGTTTGGAAAATAGCAACCCCCCCCCCCCCCCCAACCCCCCCTATAGGTTTGAAACCTTCTTTAGCTGAACATTCCCCAAGAGGCAAGTCACTCAACGTGTCCCCAACACATATATTTCCTATTGGAGGTCATCAGATCACAGTCAGCATCAGAAATGCAGCCCTTTTTTTCCCTTCTCTCTCTATCTCCTTATCATCATGGCTATTAAAGTCAATTCTAGCCTCCCATGGACTGTTCCACCAACTAGGAATTGAAGCTGTAACCTTTTGTTCAGATTTGTCTATTGCTTTTACCCACTAGTCCAAAAGGCTACCATGGCTCTACTTTCCAATATACAGAACTGAAATGCATTTTGTTTAAAGTCGTTGCAGATGTTGTACAATGGAAAATGTATGAATATACTTTGAACTGTATTAAAGGCCTTTGCTAATGATTGAGATCCAATTTAGTGCTGGAAAGCTCAAGTCAATAATTATGGATGTTTGACTGAGCCTAGCTCTGTAATCTATAACAGTACTTAAATTAATTTCATTTTCCAGTTAAAATGATTTATTGAAACCATTTCACTGGTTCAGAGTTTACGATGCAGTACCACTTACAAGAAATCTTTGCACAGGCTTACCTTACTTGCTGTTGATCAGTCACACAAGTCTGTGGACTGTAGCAGATGAACTTCCTCAGTTATCGCAGACGGCAATATTGGTCGGATATGTACTGCATTTGATACTACAATGGCAGATTTCTAACTGATATATTCTTTTAGGCTATGAATTTCCAAGGCAGATTGAAGTTTCTTTATGAACAGAACAGGAAGGGGAAAGATGGCTCATTAATCCCACCACAATTGGGGTTATTTGCGATAGCAACGCCACTGCAGCCTCCATCCATCCTGGAGATTCGAACCAAAAACTTCATTTTCAGAACCAAGCACAAATTAGACTTCACACCCATTGGGTGCGATGCCAAGTGAGTAATATGGTTTTTGTTAGCTTATGAAAGACCGAATGGAAAATAGTTTGTAAATACGTCTTTTTCTCTGGATTCCTAGTCATTCGACTGCTGTAAATAATTCTGGGAAACAGGTCAGTGAGTTTGCATGTGTCGATGAGTCAGGACGTCATTTCCTACGATTCAAGGCAGGCATTATTGCAGGAATAGTAGAGGGTAGGGCAACGGAGTTATGAGTCAAAAGGTAACTAATACAAGCAGTGTGAAGAAATATAAGTGGGTTTTGGTGGGAAACTCAATGGGACTCGAGTCAATGTACAACTTAGGCAATTATACAATTTATAAAGATAAGACTTATATGAGTTCTACTGTTGCAAAGACAACTTTTAACAATTTCAATACAAAACTTTGTTTGACTAAAATTTACTGAACTTTGTGTTTGCAAACCTGGCTTTGAACATTGAACATACCGGGAGACATTCACTTTGCTTTTGTTTTCTTCCTCAGAGGGAAGCTGGTCCTCGGCTACACAGACACTGAGCTCTGCATGCGAGGAACTGGTTATCAGTTTATTCATGCTGCTGACATGATGTATTGTGCAGAGAACCATGTGCGAAGTAAGTGTAGTTTTCTTATGATGAAGAAAGTTCTATCCAATATAGTGTGTGTGTGTTTAAGGGAGTGGTTGATAAAAACACTAGTTTATTCTTTAAACTTTAAATTAATCTTTAAACCTGTAGTCTTTAAATAGCAAGATTCTGATTATTTACATGATTTACAATGTCCATCTATTGGACTATATTCAGTAAGCTCTGCATTAAATCAAGCTGCTATCAGTGGTGTACTAAGTAATTAATTTGTGATATGAATGCTTAGTTTATGCTGCGTTTTTCATAGTGTTCTGCAAGAAAATCACACTCGTCATCGCAAGTAAATCTTGTGTAAATTGTGTGCAATCCTGTGTAAATCGTGTCAACAAGTGATCTGAAAGTGACACATATTGGAATGCAGATGCTTAGGCTGTTTTGTGAAGTATAAGTGTTGGGATGAGAATAGATTTTTTTTTCCAATCAAAAATGGACCCTTACAACTTCTTGGGCATTCCATTTGTAATGTTGTGGAAGATCGCGGGAAGCTAACTTTAATTATTTGAGGAGGGAGGCATCACAGGAGGCTGTATTGAATTTTTTTAGGGAGGGGATTGTAACCAACACAATGGATGGTCCTGAAGCTGTCCTTGAACTATTAGCAGCAATGGACTCCTGGTTGGCGGAATTTGTTTTCATTAGGATGTCGACCACTAACCCAAATCTCGAACATGCTGACCTCTGGCCAACCATTGTGGTGGAGTCATGGCGGGGGTGGGAGGGGAGATGGGGGTGTCTTTAGTTATCAACAAGGTGGATTTTTTATCAAACAATTGGAACACCATAGATTGAAACCTCACCTCCCCTCCATTTGTGGGATGAAATTCCATCTAGCCTTAGCCTGTAAGACCATTTATTTTGCCTTAAGAATTAAGAATTGTGGAAGATTCTTCAATTTAGTTGTTTTCAAACTAGATTTGGAAAACCAGCTTTCAAATTAAGGCTGAATTTACCATAATAGTTACACAGTCTGAAAAGAGTTGAAGCAGCTCCCAGGAACTTTAAACTTCAATTTAAAATGCAGCACTGACACAAACAACTTGCATTTCTTTCCCCCATTGTTTTCTGAATTTCAGTGATGAAGACTGGAGAAAGTGGCATGACAGTTTTCAGACTCTTGACCAAAGAGAATGGTTGGACCTGGGTGCAGGCCAATGCACGGTTGGGATATAAGAATGGGAGGCCAGATTATATTATCGCCACACAGAGAGCTCTCACGTAAGTACTGAAACTGATTTACATTGAAATCAAGTCTTACGGAAGCTTTTGAAGAGATCCAGAATGAAATAGATTTCTCGTATTTTAATCATGTTTAGAATCCTTCACAGGTAATTGTTTTAAAGTGCATTTGTAGGAACCTGCAGCAGCCAATTTGTGCACAGCGGTGGCTCACAAAGTTATTGACCGATGGATTATTGAAGGATTATAGGCCAGAACACCAGGGGATCACTAGTTGAAAGGAACTGCAACTATTACTGTTTGGTTTAAGCAAATACTAAAAAAATTGACTCTGATTCTTCTTTATTTAGCCTCTACATGCAAACAGGAACGTTCAATCATCATACATTGGGATGGGGGCAGAGAACAAGAGGGAGGGAAGAGTTTCACCTAAAGTCCTTTAATGAACTGTGTCAATACAAAGGCAACTTTATCAGATGGCCTTTCCCCAGTGTGCCATAAATAAGGTCTTGCTCTGGTGTTTGCCCTTTTTTTTAAACTTTACTGGCAATAGCCCACGCTGTTACCCATATAGGAAAAAAGATCTTTTGTTGTTTTAACTTGTTGATTTGTTTGAGGTCCACCTATCTTTTCTGCAGTCTGGAAACATTGCTGTATATGTATCTTGATAAATTGGCTTTACAGTTAAATTTAGAACAGTAGCACACCTTTGGTAAGATGTGCATGTGTCTATTATTCTCAAGAAAATATTTAGGAGCTCATCTAGATGAGGGATGTCAATGCTGGCAAATTAATAGTTTGTCTATTTTTGGCATAGAGCCACTTCCAGGTCAGAATCAAGAGTGCTTCCTACTGAACTAATGTGACTCTTTCCATTCTGTACACAATGCAATGCAAATTTGAGTTATATAATGTCTGTCATATCTTGAGAATATCCCAAGGTGCTTAAAAGTTCTGGTTTGGCACCCACGATAGGGGTGGGAGTCGAGTGGGTGGTTAGGGTAGGAGAAAGATGAAAGGTCTTGAGGCAGACCTTGAAAGATATGAGGGAGGAAATGAGTTGGAGGGACTCCGGAGAGTGGAGGCAGATAGGCTGAAAACCTGATCTCCGATGGAGCCACAAAAGCTATCCATGGTGTTTCTGAGAGCAGCCCACATGACTTGTGCTGTCATTGTATTTTATCTTCACCTACACAATACAAGCTCCATTGGAAGGCAGTGCTAGCTGCAAAGAAGTAAGCTTGTTTCTTGCAGCTGAGGATATAATTAGAGTCAAGTTCTTCATAGAACTTCACCTCAGCATTAAAAGGTTTTGGGTTTGATCCCCACTTCAGGACTTTAAGCTTACAGTCTATGCTGACATTTTAGTCCAGTGTTGGATAAGCGCTTCATTGTCAGAACTTCTCTCCTTTGGATGAAAGTTCAGGTGAACATTAAAGATCCCATGATACTGTTTGAAAAAAGAAGCGAGTTTCTCCTCCTCACAAACGGGACGAGTGAAGAATCAACTGGGAAGTCTCCCCACCCTCAGGAATTCCTCTAACCCTTGGCCATTAAAGACATTTGACTGGTTTGGGACCATTCCAGTATATTAGCTGACAAGAGCATCACCTTCCCCACTATAATCACAGCTCTGACGTTGATTCTCCTTTCAAGATGTCCTCCCAACAAGAAAGGCGCTATGTAAATGTAAATTGTATTGTACTGAATCTGGTGGAGTTGGCATCATGCAATGCTTTTGCGTGGGAACAATAGTAATTGGAGTTGAGGTTTAAATCAGCCATGATCTAATAGAATAATATTAATCCTTGCATTGGATATAGAGCCTTATTACATCTTCGAGACGTCTCAAAACGCTTGACAGAATATACTGTAAAGTGAATTGACAGTATATTTGTGGGTGAAATGCAGCAGCCAATTGCGCACAGCAGTGTTCCACAAACAGTCGTAGGTTGAAGTGACTGGACTGAATTCATTATTATTATTTTTTTAAAAAGGAATTATTACCCCCGGAAAAGCATTCTGCCAATTGACTAACAACTGGTTCCTACTTATTGCTAGGTTAACAGATGCATGTGGAGTAAGGAAACTTGCCCAACATTTCGCCCTACCGGGAATCGAACCCAGGGCTCTCATTCGCGAGGCGAGTGCTCTAACCACTGAGCTACAGGACTCCGCAACAAGAATGGCGGAACAAGCTTGAACGGCTGAATGCCTTACCCCTGTTCCTATGTTCCTATAAATCCTGATGTGGGGCTTGAACCCACAACCTTCTGACTCAATGAGCCAGGATGGGACATGTATTAATCCTTGGTAGCAGGAAGAATTATGTTGTGGACCTGGTGAATATGTCTGCTGTTAGGCTTTTCATTGTTTATGAATCCTTTTGTGAATACAGTGTATTTTGAATCCTTGCACATATTAAATGCATTCTTGTAACAAAGTTGTTTTTCTTACGTCTTCAGAGCAGAAGAAGGGGAAGAGCATTTGAGGAAACGAGCATTGCAGTTGCCCTTTAATTTTGCCACTGGGGAGGCGTTGCTATATGAAGGAAGCTTTTCATTGCTCGGATTGATGGATCCCTCACACAATAAAATCAAAGTAATGACCGGAAAATTAACAGCTCTCAAAGAAACATCTTCAAGGGGACAGGAATCTATCGATCCAAGCTCGCTTCTTGGTGCCATGCTTCAGCAGGACAGATCTGTATATGTCTCTGCTCCATCACAAAATTGCAATATTTCCTTTGAAAACATTTGCAATGAGAGCAAAGATGCAGAACAAAACGATATTGTTCCCAGTGATTGGGAGGATGTTCTGTTCAGTGGAAAGAACAGGATTGGGAAGAAACAGCCCACCGACTGCATTCAGGATGAAGCCACCTTCGCCCCTGCTGAAGAGAATTTAGACTTTTTGGCAAATAACATTGGCAGTGATCTTTATAACACTATGAAAAGTCTTGGAATTGGGCTGGAAGACTTTGACCTCATACAGCGGGATGAGACGTTCCTGAGAGTTAATTGGGATTATCTGGATGAAGCTGGAGATATAAATGACATATCACTAAACGAGGAGATTCTAACCTATGTCCAGGAATCATTGAAAAAGAGGTCCGACTGCATGTACTCTAGCTGCATGCAGCAAAAGCCACTTACTCCGAGTTCAAGTTGTATGGTTCAACAGCAAGTGCATCAAGAGCAGAAGCAGCAAAAAGAGCAAAATTATCAACAGCATCAGCAGCAAGACCAGCAGCAGCAGCAGCAACATTATTATCAGCAGCAGCAGCTATGCCAGAAAATGAAACATATGCAAGTCAATGGACCGTTTGCAAACTGGAACCCAGGCAATGAAAGACTTGTCAATTGTCAGCAACAGTTTGGGTTCTCTGGCTTAGACAGCACCGCCCAAGAGGTCCAGTACAAATCTGAGCTCAGTGTTACCCCCTCAGCCTGTCAGCAAGATGTTCATTTGCACCAGCAGCTTGCTGCGTTCCCAGCACAGCCTTCTAACTTAATACAAACAGACTTCCCGATTAGTAGCTATCACACAAGGAACTATACCACAGCTGATGGTTTGGAGGATTACCTGTACTCAAATGTACAGCAAAACCCACAAATTCCAGACTGCAGTGGAGCAAACACGACCGGCTCAGGGACAACACAGCAGGCATTCTATGCAGGGGACGTGACAATGTACCCATGTGAGAATGATTTGTCCTGTATCAATCCTGTACAGTTGAATCCTGCAATCTCAAGTCAACAGCAATTTTTAGCCAAGGTAAGGACTTGGTGCTAAAATACCATATGAAGCAATTGTTTAGCGGGTGTTAAAGCTTCTTTAAGACTGTAGTTATAAAGTGTGATAATGTATCTTGACTAAATTATGTATCATTTAACATCCTTGAGCTTTTTAACAATTATTTTTAACCAATATACAGTATTCGTAGGAGACTCAACCCTTTCCTCCCACACATATGCTTGTGGAAGCATACTAACAATTTTGTGATGGAGCAGATATTGTAAGTAAAAAAGCTCAAAGTGCATTCAAGCAGCACTAATTGTAAGTTGCAATATTTACAGAGTTTTAAAGTTAAAGTCTCTGGTTCAAATAGGACTTTGTAGACTTGAAAGAAACAAAACTGCTCCACACTGCAGAAAGAGGCTAGGCTGATTTGAAACAGCTAGCAAATCCTTTAATACAATCCGAGTTCAAACTAATACTCTCAAAGTGATATTTCAGAGTTAGGAATTATAATTTTTTCTAATTTGACATTTCTGGTGACACTCGCCAAAAGTTTCGATAATTGGTGAAATTTGGTAGATATTAATTTTTTGCCTCTAGGACTTTGGTTTTAGTTTGGAATGACAAAATGGGTGGGATCAAAATTGTCTCTTTTCATTGCTCTACATGAAATCAGTTTGTTTCAATTTAGGAATGATCAGTTTGTTTCAATTCTCACCTGTAGGTTCACAAAATAAAGTGCCTCGAAAAAGCCGGGCGAGCTCACTTCAGTCATTACATGGTCAGTGACTCAAGCCCCTGCTGCCACAGCTACCACAAGCATGTGTGTGGGGGGGAAAGGGTTGAGTCTCCTACGAATACTGTATAATGGTTAAAAAGAACCTTGCCCATTAGCAATGCCCTTAATATTACATCAGTGACCTGAATCACCCAACCTGTTTCAGTAATCAGGTCACCTCACCAAGTAGGTCACTTTTGTCCAGTCACTTGGATGACTGGATTAGTTAGGTTCTACTGCATACATTTTGTTACTTATCATTTTAATTCTATCTGTGCTGCCTTGTATGTACTGCACTGAGTGTATTGACCAATGTTCCTGCCAGCCGCATGCTGTACAATGAGACTCTGATATCAAACCACCATTATCCCCACAGCAGGTCAATCTGCACCTGAAAGGGAATAATGGATAGATTAATGTTTCACATTCAAAGGAACTGACACTGCAGACATAAAGCATTCACCTTTTTTCCCCAGATGCTGGTTTATGTGTGGCACATTTTTGAGGTTTTAAAAACAATTTTCTAACATCCACATTTTATTTTTAAACAGCTCATTGTGAAGTTAAAAGTACTATTGAACAAAAGAACCCTTGTGACTGAATTTTTGTTCTATGCTGAACGTACTAAATGTATATGCTAAATGATAAATCTAATTGTCGAAATGGGTAGTTAGATGGGCCTGACATTTGGTATGCATCTACTGAAAGGCGCTTTGCTTATCTTTACCTCAGCAGATCGAAACTGGATACATTGATGTAAACAGTACTGAAATCTATCCAAGCTCCTTCAACAACGTGAATTACCCATCGTTAAACTCTCAGCCTCTTAATCATCATCCAGGAAAATCTACTCAAGTCTACTCAAACCAACCAAACAGTGGCTTTATGTAGATGAATACAAGGACTACCATCCTGTGTCAAACATGATGGTTTGAATACTGCCAGCTGAAGGACAGCTGGAAAGTATGCAGAATGTGAAGGGACAAGGAGCTTCTAAAACTGAAGAATTATAAGGCGCAAAAGACTGCACTGTGCTGGATTTTAAATTGGACCTTATACTCTGTTATGGATGATATTGATTCTTTGTTTTGCACTAAAAGTGCATGTGTGTTTTTGCTCAGATTTTGCGTGAAATATGAAGTTCTTCCTTCACGGACATTAAATTCTTTGGTAATGTTCTGTTAGATTTGGGGGGAGTAGGGGCGGGGGTCCTAGGACCTTGGCACAGAGTATTCATTTGAAATAAATCAATTTTGGCACATGCACATTCATCCCAGTAATTAGGTCCAACCCATCATGAAAGATCGGTAAAGGTTCTGCAAGATCAAGTTTTGGCTAATTGGACACGGTCTCTCGGAGGTTGCATCCCACAACTAAGTGTTTGGCCCAGAGTGCGTGAGGACTGTACAGTTGGAGCTAATTTTATATAATTACAAACTATCATTATGTAAGATCTGTATTTTTACTTCCTACAAAGAAAATTATTTTATACGTGTGTCTTCATATTTTGGATGTAAGCAGGTTACGTTCACATACACGAACATGCTATGAAAGCATCCTGTCTGCATGATAAGATCATGACTATAATTTCCCCCTTCTCTCCCCCACTGCTGTAAATCTTTAGGCAGTAGTATTATGCTTTGCTGTACAATCCGCTGTACGGAACCAAAGCCATAAAACCAATTTTTCATTTGTCTGTACAGTGGCTGGCAGTGAACAGGGAAAGACATTTGGTTACGTTTAAACTTATTTTTCTCTATTTGATGGACCTAAAGGTTGTGCGAGCTCCCTAACTCCATGGAAGGTAATAATACTTGAGACTTAAGAACTCAGCGTTAAATGCTTAACCTGATTTAAAGAATCTATTCAGAAGGGTAGCTCTCAGTTCACATTGACATAATGGGAATGATTTAAAGTAGCCTGCAGAGCTGCTGTAATGCTCTGTAAAACTTTTAAAGAATTAGCCCCTCTGGATAAATATGGGGAACAGTGGAATAAATTCATTTTAGTTACCTTTTGTTAACTATTCTGACTTCAGTTAGATTTGTTGTGAAGATTTTGATTTACTGAATACAATAGGTATTCCACTGTATACTCTCCATTTATAGTATGCATAGTAGATAAAATTACATAAAATGTATATTTTATTTAAGCATCAAAGATGTTATACCACACCTCTTTTCCCCCTCCCTCCCCACCACCCTCACTTTCATTTCCCTGCTTAAATAAGTTGCATTACTGCACATATTCTACCTGTGGACATCTATTTTACTTTCCAGACAAACAGAGAATTTGTTTTTACAGTGCATCGTCTCAAAGTTAAACCAGTATCGTAAATTATTTCTGCGAAAGAGAACATCATATCAATTTCCTATTACAATGCACATAGGGGGCGGGGCTGGTGAGAATACTCTTTGACCAGGGTCAGTCGTCTTTAAACCAGGCTTGACTTGACTGATAGGTCCATTGACCAATGAGAGGTGAGGACACCCTGACGAGTGGCCCGCCAGACCAGAAGTAGGCGGGCACCCCGGGGAGTTGGGAGAGAGGCAAGAAGGGTCCCGTGGGTGATGGGGTTGGGGCTGCTTAGAGGTCTGGCTATGATCCTCCTTAGGCCGTTTCCCTCCTGGCTCCCATTAAAGAGATGGGCTGTGGGTAGATTGGGTGGAGGCTAAGCCTATGATTATGCAATGCAGTGATGTCTCTTTATCCAGAAAGGATTTTGTTTTACCTCTTTGAGAACCTGTGCCTGATCCCATGAGCCACTGTATAGTTTGTGTAAATTGGCTGTTTCACAGGCACAGGTGTTGACATATGTCAGCCCTTGTTTCTTATGGCACATTTGCAGCATTTAGCAGGAAGACAGTAATTATGGATTATTTTGTCAAAAAAAAATTACTTTATTTACAAAATATTTAGAATTTTTTTCCCAGCACTTTCGTAAACCTGGCAAAGGCGTGCTGTACACATTCAGCCTCAGTTAACATACCTATCCCTGGTATATTGCACTCTTCAGGAGAAAAAATAACTAATACTTAACTGTAAAAGCTCTTATTGATTCAGTGAGCAGTAAAGATGACTACAACAGCAAGTTTGCTTTAATTATTAAAAGCTACATTTTGCAGTTTATCAAAGAAAGAAAAGTACTTTTTAATACAATTACTTTATCGAACAGGTTTTGTAGACTTGCAAAAACATCAATATTGGTGCAAAATGTACCTTTATTTTGAATAATTGTTACTGATTTTGTACATGTTCAATTTGACACATTTTAGTGTGTATTATGTAATTTATATATTCTGAACAAAATTGTCCTTTTGAAGATAATTATATTTTAAAACACATTTATTACATTTTTAAACGTTGCCGGTTTCGTAAGCATAAACCAAAATACTGTAATATGCCAGAGTAATAGTTTTTTTTTGAATATTCACCCGGTTCATCCCTTGCTTGTTACCCATTTTACATGGAAGGGGAAATGATCTGGGTGTCGCATGATTTTAGTTTGCTTATTGCTCAGTAGCAGAACCAGTCTGTGTGTGTTTCAGGGTCAGAAGCATTTGTAATCCTTGGAGCAATAAATGCTTTAAGTTGCACACAATCTTCAGAGTAGGATTTGAAAAGATATGCCTTGAAACACAGAACCAATCTAAGGGAGAATATTTTTGTGGGAGATGAGGCAAGAAAGTTAGAATGCATTTTAAATATTCCTCTCTTAGATACAGCAGATAGACTTAGCTATGCTTATGGATTTATTTGGTTTAGTTTAAATAAAAGGTGTGTAATGGTTTTATGGGCACCATCTTCTTGAAAAATTATTTGACCGTATAGTCCACACACCCTCTCTCTTGCCTAGGGGAAGGTCTGCATGATAATGTGATTCGAAAAGATAATTGAGCAAACCTACAGAAATTTTATCCGTCTGAACATCTTATTAAACTATTATAGGTCATCTCAAGTGCACTAGCAGTGCTTGTTTGTGATTTCCTTGCGCTGAAATTAGGCTTTGTTCGTCTGTTTCTTTCCACTTCTCAAAATAGATTTGCAAGTACTTTTGTGAAGATTGTGCCCTTTTGAAATCATGCTCTTAGAGACTCACCAATGTGGCTTTGGCTTAGATTAACTCAGTAGGATGAGAATATGGGTTGCCGATCCCTTTCTGCTGTTAAGGGGTGAAATGAATTAAATTTTTATGACAGTTGAAGCTCATTAGCATTGTCTGGTCTAAATTAGTCTCACCATGTGAAAAGTGAACAACCTGATGCTCCCCTTCAACACTACCAACCATTAAACGTGACTTCGTCGAGAGCAACGAAAAGACTGATGCACCTCATTTCTAACAGAATGAGAAACAATACAGTTTGCAATACTAAAGACTGGCTCCTGCATTTTGGAACTGAGAAATGAGGGGTTTGCTGAAACTAAGCCCTATAAGGTATGCGAATGTGATAAACAGTAGCTAAGTCTACAAACACTGTAATAGAGGTTTAAAGGGATAGCATCATATTGTACAAAAGTACTGTTTATTAATTATATCATGTTATAGACATTAGTCTACTAAGCCAAATTAAAAAAAATACCATATTACTAAGTGCCAAGCATTCAGTACTGCCAGTACTGGCTTATTGTAAGCATTTATATGCGTAACAGCTTATTAGTGTTTTGGTCTATACTTGCAGCAGCTGAGCCTTAGTAGTACACAGTGAGATGGTATATGCAAGTGCACTGGTGACTGCACAAGCACCATAAAGGTTTGGAAGTACACCTCAGTTTGAATTCTGCTCTCTTTGCTCTCCAGTCTTTTTTGTTAAAGTGATGTTTTAAAAAAACAGTATTACTGTAAACAGTTTCTTGTAAGTTTATTTTGACTTTTGTTTCTAATGGATTTGCTCACAGTTTGCTATGTCCACACACACTGTACATGTTTCTAAGATAACATTTGTAGTAACCTCACTGACCTTCAGTGAAGTTTGTAAAACTTCAATATTGTAATAAAAGCTCACTGAATGTGAATATTTTGGAACCAAAATTGATCATTCTCTTGTCTGAATGAATTGTTATTATTGTGCTTGAAAGTGTAATGATTTATTCATAATTTTACCCCTAAACCATGTGTATGGAAAATCGCCAAGAGGGGACACTTGCTCCTTTAAAGCAATTGTATCTTCAAACACTTCCCTTGGAGATCTCCTCTCTGCACACTGAATGTCCACAACATATGGTTTTCAGCTCCCTTTATTAGACTCAACAGAAAGGCCTGTCTTGTGTTTGGACAATTATCACCATTACCTCCTGATGAACCACAACTTCAAGTTGTGCTAATTCATAGGAAGTTTTAAAAATAAAGTTCCAGTTACTTGAAGTGCGATTAAAAATCAGGAAAGCAGAAATACAAAAAAAGTTATCTTCATATCCAAGTCGCACGCAAACCTTTATGCTAATTTTGCTTCATTCAACAAATTGAAATGTCTGTTCTATCTACAAGAAAGGCCAAATTTTCCATTTCAAGAGTTGAGAATTCTTGGCATGTTTTATTCCAGGAAGAAATTCAAAACCTTTGCAAAAGGGTCATACTCCTTGTTCAAAGGATGCACACTATTTGGTGGATCAGTAGCTAGACAGATTAATTGTACGGCTGTGCAAATTATCCATACTCTGACTATCTATAATAGAGATTTGTCGAATGTCCAACTAGTGACTGGGGGGTGGGGGGGTGGCAGGGAAATGTCAGCTGGAGTTGAACTGGCTCCTTGGAGTTGAACTGGCTCATGTTTAGCAATGGAATGTAAGAATCAAGAAAACCATCTGTGGCAGTCTCAGTCATCCAGTTCCTGAGCCAGCTGGGTCCTTAGTACCCCAGGCCATTGCTGATGAAGGCCCAGTCAGCCCGGCTCATAGAAGGTCAGACCAATCACTGGGGTCAGAATTCTTTCCACTCAGCTCCTCTTAATCATGCAAACCAAAGCCCTAACGGGTAGGGTGGTGGTAGCTGGACAAGCTGTGCGGAAAACTAAACAGGGTAATTTTAACTGGTTAGACTCCAGCAGTATCCCAAAACAGACTCCGGGATCCCCAAGTGTTGGCTCTTGCCAACCTGCGCCTAATATTTTTCGAGTTTAAGTAAGCAGCATCCATTCCTCTGGGGAGAGTGTGCGCGATCCATTCTAATAAATATCTCAGGAATTTCCATGTATTGGTGGGATACATAGAACTCTGTTTGCTTTGGATATTCTTAAGCATGGTGTTGGGCATCATGCTGCTCCAAAAAAAATAATACTCGTTGCACCAATATTAAACTAGTTACCAAGTTTCATGTTGACTGATATTTCAGGTAAATGATAAAAGAATGCTTCTGTTTTGGAAATTATAGATTGGTCTAGGGCAATACAATACCCACGGCAACAATATGATTCATCTAGACTCAGTGCACCTCAGATGAAGGTTGAGGAAACATTTCTTCACACAGAGGGTAGTGAATTTATGGAATTCTCTACCCCAGAAGGCTGTGGATGCTCAGTTATTGAGCATATTCAAGACTGAGGATGATAAATTTCTGAAGGATAAAGAGATTAAGGTTATATGGGAATAGGGTGGGTAAATGGAATTAGGTTAGAAGATCAGCCATGATCTTATTAAATGCTGAGGCAGGCTCGAGGGGCCGAATGGTCTACTCCTGCTCCTACATCTTATAGTCTTATAAAGAGTAGACATGTGCGTATATATTTTGCCACAGACGAGTTTAGCATGCAAGACATTTATTTTATTACACTTCGAGAACCATATTTGTTCCAGTGATTTATCTTGGCTAATGGTGTTATAGACTATATCACTGAACACTGCCTACTCTTGGTCCCGCAGCCTTAGACCAATTTCTAACCATACATCCAGCTTTGCTCGATTGACTTGAGTCTGTGCATAAGTCAAGCAATGATCCCCACCACCTTCACCACTCGAAAACCCCCCAAAGTAACAAAGTAGTAAAAGATCAACTTGGGTGCAATTATCTCAGAGTACAACCACATGAATAGTTTTAGTCACCGAACAAGTATAGTTTTTGCATCATAACAAAATTGTACAAATGGTCGATTTTAATACAAATATTTCAGTATATTATCCTCATCAAACTATTAGATTAAATTTGAGAGTAGTCATAACAGAATCATAATTCATAGAAATTGGAGCTAGCTAGCTCCTCTGATCACAATTCTCCAATCTTTCCTCATAATTTATTTACTATATATTTTCCCTCTTCAGATATTTGGCTACTCTCACTTGTTGGCTTGATGAGTTCCTGTGAGTGCCACAAAATGCAAAACATGCGAGAAAAAAAATAGACTGAAAGACATCAACTTATTTGATTGGTTATTTTTCCCCAGAGTGTTAAAATCACTTCGGACATAAGTGTGCGGTATTTTTTATGGTGCTCGTCAATTCAGTAGATGAATACTTTATAAAAATGCTATCAGCAAAGTTTTATCCAAGAAAATCATACTTTTAAAACACTGATTTACTTTTAATATGCTTTACGATCATGCTGAAGTTTACTAAATTATTTGTAACCAAATATTCAATAGTAAAAGCTTCATAATGCCAGACAAATGTTGTTCCTTTATTCTTTTTACTTTTCCATCCCAGTGGAGTCCTAGTGGTAGCTCAGTGGTTAGAGCACTCACCTCACAAGCGAGAGACCTGGGTTCGATATCCAGGCAGAATTCTCTAATCTTGTAGAAATTACAAGAGCATAACTTGATGGGCAAGTTTCCTTACTCCGCACGCCTCTGTTTACCTAGCAGTAAGTAGGAACCTAATTGTTACTTGATTGATGGATCGCTCTTCCGGGGATAATAATCCCTTTAAAAAAAATTATTATTTGGTCACTCAATCCATGACTGTTTGTGGGACACTGCTGTGCATGATTGGCTGCCGTGTTTTGCCCACAAATATACAGTCAATTCCCTTTACAGTATATTCTATGTCAAATGCAATGATTATTATTATTTTAGTCAATGTAGTCAAGAAAAATAGGACCACTTTTTAACTTGTCAAACTGAAATTATTACATCTGCATATTTTGCTAATGATTTAAAGACCCTCATTTCCTGAAACAAAAAAAAGGATTTTTTTTGTTGAAGACGATCTAGGTGGTTAAACTTCAAACTTTATTTTGTCAGCCGGGTATCTGACACACACATAAACTCATCACCATGCTTTACTTTATCCTAACCATACTACTGAGTGTTCCAAATACAGAACGCATGGAAATTTCCCTGACTGGAATGGAGTGCACATTCTTTCCCCAGAGGGATGCAGCTTGCTTAAATACTCCAGGATAAAATTAGCTGTAGGTTGACAAGAACCAAGGGTTCGGGACTCCAGAATGTGTATGGGTAATGCTGGAGTTTAATCAGTTAAAACTGTATAACTTGTCGCTTAGAGAAGAACCCTGACTGGCAAGCTATCTTCTGCTTGCCCAGCTTGGCCACCCTACCCATTTAGAGCGTTGGTTTGCAGGATTAAAAGGAGCTGAATGGGAAGAACTCTGTTCTCAATGACTGATCTGCTCCTCCAAGTCTGAGGTTGATGAGTCAGACTGGCTGGTCTGATATCAGCAGTGCCTTGGAGTACTGAGTACCCACCTCACCAAGAATCAAACTACCAAGACCATCAAAGACAGTTGGCTTGATTCTGATATTTCATTGTCAGGCATGTGATCTTGGAGCCAGCTCTGCAACAAAGAAACCCACTTACTCTTCTGCTTACTAATGTCAGGAGTTTAGATTTCAGATTAGTAGAGTTAATTAGTTTGGATTCAAAATAAACTGTAGTACATCCTTCTACAAGGTGCAGAAAGGATGCAAGTCTCGTCAGTCATTCAAATTGAAAGAGATGTCTCAGATGCTTAGATGACCAGATGATTTCTAAAGGCCACTTCCTCTGTTTCACAATCATTTGATAATTGAATTGGGATACAAACAAGAAACTTGCATTATTATCCACTGATAATAGATATAATTGGGTGCCAAAATATAGAGGGTTAGGCTATTTGAGAATTCAAGAATTTGAACAAGATTTTTGAAAGACAAGAGACTCAAAATATTCCAAGAATCTCACTGTCACCATCAGTCTGATCTGTTTTGTCCCTCGAAGCTTGTCTGTATGCAGGCAATCCTTGTGTTCTTTCCTTCTGATCCCCAAGGCAACCCTGACAGTGAGAGAATGGGGAATCAAAATGCTTTTAATTGTACCATACAGACCACGGAAAGGGATGGTTCTCAGATCTGTCCGTGTTGGGAGTCTCTCCCTTGGCTCTTCTGATGAGAGACCATCTGTTCTCCAAAAAACAGCCTTAGCACCCTCTTCACTCCTGACTCCATCTGTTCATCAGGTTCTTGAACACTTTGACTGCTGACATCTCCTTAATATTTCATATCCTCAGGCTGATGTCTTTTTGTAACAATTGCACTTCACCCACACTAAGCCATCTGCTACATTAAACTGGAAGATCAATCCATGCAGTTTAAATATAGATATACACTTTCTTTTAAGAAACATCTGTAATGAAGCCGTATGTCTGAAGTGTATATTGTATTCAATCCATCTCATTTCCAAGGTCTAAAATATATCAGGAATGACACAAAATCCAGATTTGCTTGGAAAGCTGCAATAGTTTTATTTAATAATTGGGTGAAAATCGGAACCAATGACATGTTAATTAACACATTGTTAAAAATTCTGCCCTATTGATAATTGACCCATCTGTGGATACAACTCGACCCCCGCCCGCCTCTATTATAGTGGCTGGGTTCATAGCCAGTCATGATTGATCCTGTTAGCCTACCAGCATTCTGGTTACTGTAAAGTGGTTTTTTTTGTTCAGTTACATTGCTATCCTGCTAACTGCTTTCCAATAAGACAAACCATTGTGATAAGAGTTGGTGGGGGTGGGGGAAGCATACCTGTATATCCAATCAATGACTTCAGTTACTGACAAAGTGACATTTTCAAAAATGTGGTTTTTTTTGTTTAGTTTTGA